CCACACCAAAATCATCCCATTAGTTAAAGGAGGGTTCAGAGAGTTGAGAGAAGGTGTTTGGAGTGCTTCCCGTCGCTGGAGCAAGCCGTGGTGTTCGCTGGAACTTTCGCCGTTTTTCCGCCGGAATCATCGTTTCACTTCGAAGTAATCCCGTAGAAATATCTAGTGACTAGAATGTTCGTATAGATCGTTTCTACATTCATAAATGGTCGTTTGGTTGAGTTTTGTGTTTGACATATGTGAAGAACCAAGAATCATAAACCTTGAATTTGTTGTTAAAACTTCGAATTGATGCCTCTAAAATGATATATGAACCTTGGAGCACATTTCTATATAGTTTAATTGAAGTTTGGTGACCAAAAATGGAACTTGAGAAAAATGGGTTAGAGGTTGATGATGATGAATAGTAACACTCCATTTCCTGCATTTTTTTAACGGAACGGATGACCGTTTGGACCTAACGGTCGACCATTACGAACGTTTTTCAGTCCAAAAATGCTATTTTAGAAGCTTTAAAATCCTATTTATGATACCAATCAATTTTGAATAATGTAAAGATTATTTTCACCATGAAAATAATGTTTTTAACAAAAAAATGTTATGTGATGCATAACGGTAAGTTAGGGTGTTAACACTCGAAACTAGGCCGTTATTTGCTATTGAATCTTATGTTAATTAATGGTTATGATAAATAATTGTTATGAATGATTATGAATGATGAACCTACTGATTAAAATAATTACTTATGATTGAACCATGAATAAAATGGATATATTGATAATTATGAAATGATGTGTACTGTTAAGAGTATGAAGAAGAACTCTAAGATATACCCATTTTAATACTTGATATTAAGGTTATCTACAAGACCTCTAGAATAGATCTCAGATTAGAAGGGATTTGTGAAACTCTGAATATTCGGTGATTTGATAAAAAAAAATGTAGTAACAGAACACGTAGACCGAAATAGAGGATCACTCGTTTGGAAATACTTCGACTCAATGATGATTAATTACTGTCTTGGTGTTGCCTTAAACTAATTACAGTTTAAGCGTATGAGAATTGTTTTCCTTAAACTAATTATAGTTTAAGCGTCTCAGAATAAAATTATTATCTGGCCTTAGACTAAGAATAGCTAAAAGCGTTGTTATGATCTGGCCTTAGACTAAGAATAGTTAAGAGCGTTGTTATTATTTGGCCTTAGATTAAGAATAATTTAAGAGCACTATCGAAATAATAACTGAATTGAATAAAATATGTTGATAAGAACTGAATAATATCAAAACTGTGAATGTATGAAGTGAACATTGTGTGCATGATATGAAATGATTTGATTATGAATTTAGATTCAGTTTATATGGATGTACACGCATTAGATATGCTTACTCAGCTTTATCGCTGAGCGTGTAGTATGTTTTATTTGCTACACGCAGGTGAACAGAAAGAACAATGTGATCCTGGCAGTAGATGGGGCGAGATTGTTGGGATGGATGTGACAAATTTTGAAATGAATTTTGATATGTCAATATTTAATTCGCTTCCGCAATATTGTTGAATACTCCGTATTGTATATGTTATGAAAAATATTATTGTGATAAATAAAAGTGTTTGAAAAGTTTTAAATTTTTACGATTACCAAGTTAAATACTTTAGTCCGAAAGGGGCTGCAGACCTAGACGGATTAGGGTGTTACAGTTAGTGTGGTAATCCAGCTTTGATTTTGTTGGCCATGTAGGAAGTGTAATGTGTGATTGCGCACAATGTGTGAAAGCGCAGGGAGGGGGGTATACTGCCATTTTTTTGGGGGGTTGGCATGGATGTTAGTAGTTTTCAAAATTGGGATACACACACGTGATGACAGGAATAGATATGGCAGTGAGTGCACACTGTGGGGGGATGTTTATTATGTTTGCATTAAAATTAATGTACTAAAAGTAGAATTTACTTGCGTATCTGGAATAACGGAGAATTGTCAAGACTAACCGCACGAACTGCCCATGAACACCGGTCATCAATGCATACAACGTGCAACACCGTTCTATTCGACCTCTTTGTCCTGTACTAAAAACTATTAGACACCGCATACATTTGTAAATGGTGGCATAAGTCTTCCTTGGACTTGTAAATGCTGTCAACTTGAAGAGTTGTTGGGTGATAGTGTGAAATTACGTCCACTGAATTTGCCGGAGGTCTCCTACGTTTGGTTTGGTTGGTTCGTTTCATGCTGTTGAGGGATTCGACTTTCCATTGGAGGTTTTGTTTGGCATGTAGTTTGTGTTGCTTTGGCCTGTTAAGTTGGGAGTGCACGCCACACTATGTGAAATGTAACACATGTTACTGTCAGGGGTAGGAGCATATGATGAATTGGCTTGAGCAGTCAGATGACCAACTGTACCAATAGGTAAAACTTCCATGCATAATGGCAGATATGACACGTCATTTTGGTAGGACTTCAACCTCAGGTAGAATAGTAGTTCAGCATCGTCCGCAATAACGATAGGCGGTGGACACAAGGCAACCATGTAAGAGAAACGAGTATCGTTGTGAGACCAGTCCATAGAAATGTCTGCTTTGATGGTGTCCATGAGCGATTTTAGAGAGGGCTCGTTGCGGACATCAATAAAAGTGTCATACTTCGAACTGAAGTTTCCAAGAGTATCACACTTACCATCAACACGCACCAATACATTAATATGTGAGTCCATGGCTGTTGAGCCTTGAACAGAGCAAATGCTATGGTCAGAGAGATTGAGGAAAATGCTGAGTTAAATGATTCAGATTTATTTTTTATGATATCATGAGAGTGGGTGAAATACTTGGTCTTGTACTTGTTAACATATAGGTTTGGACTGCCATAAGAAGAAAACCAATCATGATAAATAACATTTTGCATTGAGAATGTTGATTTTGAGATGCAGAAAAATGTGCAACTAATATTAGAAATCAGTATAAAATGTAATACAACAAATCTATTTTTTTGGATTCAGTACGGCTTAATTAGACTGGCTCAATTGTTGAGAGAACAAAAAATATAGATGGCCTTGAACAGAAAACAGAAATTTTTTCCAGATAACTTAACATTGGAGAATAAGACCAACACAATATCTAATCACGGGTTTTGTTGGAAAAATATTATAGATTTTGATGATGATGTATTTAGACTGTAATAGGGACTTTAGGTCTTCCCCAATATTCAATGTAATTTTTCTTTTTAGAAATATTGTTAAAACCGAGTTCTTGAGATTTCCAATAAAGTTGTGATATTTCACTCTGTGGTTTGATGTCAATCTTTGAAGACTTAATCAAATTCAGTGATGTGGAAATTGGAATTCTTGATCGGATATGCCAGAGACAATTAAGGAATTCTCAAAGCAGTTGATTACTTTGAATATTCTCAAATCCGGAACACTTCACAGTAACCGGATGTCTCGCAACAACCCGCTGAAGGCTAAGTCATCCGGATCGGAAGACTAGCGCGGATTTCTTTCTCACCCGGAAGTCTATGAATGACTTTTCCGGAATTATCAGGGAAGAGCCGGATGCCTCAAGAAAGACTGGAATTCTCAGAAGCAGACAAGTGAGATAAGGACTTAGAAAATTATCTAAGTCTTGAATGAAGAAATTCTACCCGTTGGTAAGGAAAAATCAATCTCTTGATTTTCAACGGATAGATTGAGGAAAATTAAGCTGATTCAAGAACAGATAATTTGAAGACAAAGCCTAGACTTCTCAAATTAAAGAGCTTGCCCAGAATTCCTAAACAAGCACTAGAAGACAAACTGAGTACTCCACTCAATAAAGAGCTACAGTTCAGAATTCTTGAACAACAGCTAAAGGACGGATTCTGTGAAAAAGGAATCCTTCTTCAAACAATTGGGTATGTCCAAACACCATTTCCAATGAAGAATCCTCAATCACAATCTTCATTCAAATTGAAGCCAGAAAATGCAACGGATAGTCTATTTTGACTCAACGGATAGATTACCCAATCCAGCTATATATAGCCTACTTGGAAGACTGGAAGAAGTAGACAACTTATCAATCATCAACCTAACATCAACGAGAACAAAAGCTATCTCATTCATAGTTAGCCAAAAAAGCTTAATAAAGAGAAATCTCTAAACTCCTTATCCAGAAGCAAACTTCTCCTCCTTCCAAAGAGCTATCACTTGAAGGTTTCCTTGCCTCAAGTACCACACCACGTTGAAGGATACATCTTTTAATCAAACTTCCTGATTAAAAAGGGGGTACATCAACTTTCCCACAAGTTGATCTTGCAAGTCCTATTGTTCGGATCTTGTAGTTGTTGAAGAAGCTTGACCTTCGAAGGAACAACAAAGTCAGCACGTGTGCAGTAGCAACATTGGCCTTGCAAAGATATAGCGTGCTAAAATTCACACAAGTGTAATTGTTGGTTCATTATTCAACAACCAACTACATAGTGGATTTTGAGGACGTAGAAGGATTACCCCACCTTCGAACCTCGTTAAAGTTTGAGTGTCTCTCTCTCTCTCTTTTATCTTTACTCATACTTGCAATTATATTAACTGTGAAACTAACCCATTCATATTGATTACTGCTCTATTAACCCACCAACTTCCGCACACAATCTAAGGTTCACAAGAACTCTAGATTAACACTCATTTTCACGTTTTCAAAAGAAACGAAAAATTTTTTAAATCATAACAAAGTCTATTCACCCCCTCTCTAGACTTTGTATCTCACCACCTTGGGACCACCAATTGGTATCGGAGCTCACTTCTCACTATCTACATTTAGGTTAAAGAGAAGCGATCACAATGGTGAACAATATGGATCACGGTTTGCCCAAGTTTTCTCTTCTAGGTTATGATGATTGGAAGATCATGATGGAAGCACACCTATACGCTCTACATGATTGTATGTGGATGGTGCTTGAAGATGGACCCTTGAGGATTCAAATGGAGAATCCTGAGAGGAATCCAACCAATCATGATGTAGTCTAGTACATTCCAAAGCCCAAGGAGAAATGGGATGATAGAGATTGCAAAAAGCACAATCTGGACAACGTTGAAAAGAAGCCATCTTCAAGACACTTGATCCCATCACCTTCTCCAAAATCAAGCATCTCAATACTGCCATGGAGATATGGCAAGGTCTTGGGAAGTTATGTGAGGGATCGGAGGATCTGAGAAAGCAGAAGATAGAGGTCCTGCTCGAGAAGTTCAAAAGCTTCAAAATGCTTCCTGGAGAATCATTTGATATGTTGGATGAAAGATTCCACAAAATCTTAATTGATCTTGCATCACTTAACCACACTCTTTCTCCCAAAGAAAAGAATGTGAGGTTAATGAGGTCTCTTCCAGCTGAGTGGTACACCAAAGCCACAGCCATGGAAAAAGGAAGAAATCTGGAGAACTACACTGTCCAAGGTCTCCTAGATGAGCTCAGAACCTATGAGCACGAGCTGAAGAAGAAAAAGGAAGAGCAAGTCACTCCTTTTCCCACGGCATTGATGACAACTCCCAGAGTCCCAGCAAGGGAAGGGACATGCCCAAGGAACTGTGACACTCCTTCATCAAGTCAGCCACCAAGCTCAAAAACAGGGAACTACGATGAGGAATTTGCAATGATGATCAAGCAGTTCCGGAAGTTCAAGAAGTTCTTCAAGAAAACTGACTCAGTCAGAAGGCCATCCAAGGGAAAGCTACAGGTAAGCGACTCCCCTCCTGAATCTTATTTCTGTTATAACTGCAGGAAACCTGGCCACTGGAAGTCAGCATGCCCGTACCCAAAAGTGGAGAAGCGCGGAGAAAGAGAAAGAAACGAGAAGAAGAAGAAGGAAATGGTAGCAGCTGAGAGTGACGAGTCATCCAGCTCAAGCTCGGATGAAGAATCCCTCGTCTGCATGGAGCGCAGAGCTGAGAAGTCCAACCACGAGGATCGGTGGACTATGTCAGAAGATGACACTCTCTACCTAATGGCCAAAGATGATGCTGGACAAGAGGTAACATCACAAACCTCTTGCTCATCTTCTTATGAAAGCATACCAACTTCTGAAAATTTTTTTGACAAGTTCAAAACGATGATGGAAGACTTTGAAGAAATAAATCTTAAACATTCATCCTTAACAGAAGAGAACAAGCTATTGAGTGAAGAGAATATCAAGTTGACTGAAGGTCGGAAAAGTCAACTAAGTGAGATCACTCAACTCAAGGCTAAGAATGAATCTCTTTCTGAAAAGGTGAAATCCCTCAACAAGGATCTAGGGATACTGAAGTCCAAAGAAGCAGTGGATAAGCTTCTTGAAACGACCAAACATAAGAGTCGTGAAGGACTTAGAAGAAAACCTTCTAACCCCCACTATACACGAGGCTACACTCATTATGGGGTAGATAGGAGTTTTCCAAGAAATTCTGAGTGGAGAACTATGCCCAGATATAGTCATCCTCCACCTTAGAAACTATTTGTTCCACCTAGGTACGATTACAACCATCCAGGCTCTTCTTAGCATAAGTCAGTTCTGTGATAAAGGTTATTCTCTGGAATTCTGCAAGGACATGGCATCCCTCAAGAACATCTCCACAAATGAAGTCATTCTCACTGGGAAGAGAATCAGAAACATCTACGAAGTAATGTGGGACGATGTCAAGGAATCATGCCTAATCAGCAAAGGTGACACTAACCTTCTATGGCTTTGGCACAAGAGGTTGAGTCATCTCAACTTCAAAACCCTCAACATGTTGTCCAAAGAAGGGTTAGTAGAAGGTCTTCCCAAAGCTGTGTACAAGAAGGAAAGCATTTGTGATGCTTGTCAGAAAGGAAAGCAAGTCAAGTCCACTTTCAAGGCAAAACCGGCTCACTCAACTACAAGGATACTAAGTCTTATTCACATTGACTTATTTGGACCTGTTATACCAATAAGTCTAAGTGGAAAGAAGTATGTCCTGGTAGTAGTTGATGATTATTCAAGATACACGTGGACAATCTTCCTCAACAGCAAGAAGGAAACTCAGGGAAAGCTCACAAACTGCATGAAGCTGATTCAAAACCAAGCAAGTCAGACCATTCAGAATATCAGATCTGACAAAGGCACAGAATTCCTGAATCAGATTATCATCCATTACTGTGAAGAAAACGAATTCTTCATCAGACATCCGCGGCAAGGACACCTCAGTAGAATGGTGTAGTTGAAAGAAGGAACAGAACCTTGAAGGAAGCAGTAAGAACCATGCTAGCAGAAGCTTTCTTGCCAAAGAGGTTCTGGGCTGAAGCTGTAAACATAGCTTGCTATACTCAAAATAAGAGCATGATTTATAAAAGGCACAACAAAACTCCCTATGAACTGTGGAATGGGAGAAAGCCTAATATATCGTATTTTCATATTTTTGGGAGCAAGTGTTTTGTGTTGAACAACGGGAAGAATCATCTGAACACTTTTGATGAGAAATCAGATGAAGCCATCTTCCTTGGATATTCTATGGTGAGCAAGGCATTCAGAGTCTTCAAAAAAAGGACCATGATCACTGAAGAATCAATACATGTTATTTTTTATGAAAAACATGTGGTTGACAAGCCATCAAAGCATGATCATGAGGTTCTGGATCTCTCAGACAATGATGAAGAGATCAATGAAGGAGATAAAATGAAGCCTACGGAGTTCATTCCTTTCGGAAGTCTACCACTGAAGACTTCACAAAGAAATCTGGATAATGCTGAGCCGACCAGAAATCATGGCCAGCCTTCCAATATTTCGGATCACTCAAATGGTGACAATTCCGGAAGTGGCGACTCAGTGCCAATCCATCCAGAAACACCAACAAACTCTGTTCTTCAACCAGAAGCTGAACTAGATCAGCCAGTCAACCCAAATCAACACAATCTTCGTTGGTTAAGGGATCATCCTCCTCAACAAGTCATTGGAGATATTCAATCACGCGTTCGCACAAGGAGTGCTCAATAAAATCTAGAAGCCATGCTTGCTTGTTTCATTTCACAAGTGGAACCAAAGAGCATTGAAGAAGCTCTAGCTGATTCTGACTGGATCAATGCAATGCAAGAAGAACTCAACCAATTCCCCAGAAATGATGTCTAGAAACTTGTTCCCAGACCTACTCATCAACATGTCATTGGGACAAAGTGGGTCTTCCGGAACAAGATGGATGAAAACAGCGTTGTTGTCATAAACAAAGCCCGGTTGGTTGCCAAAGATTATTGTCAAGAAGAAGGTATAGATTTTGATGAAACCCTCGCTCCAGTTGCTAGACTTGAAGCTATAAGGTTGTTTCTAGCCTTTGCTGCTCATAAGGACTTCAAAGTCTATCAAATGGATGTCAAAAGCGCATTTCTCAACAGAAACCTAGAGGAAGAAGTTTATGTGAAACAACCTCCAGGATTTGAGTTACACACTAAAGGCGATCAAGTGTATAGACTCAAAAAGGCGTTGTATGGACTCAAACAAGCACCAAGAGCTTGGTATGATACATTGTCTCAATTTCTGATAGACAATGAACAAGACCTTCTTCAAACTTCAAGATGGAGAAGATCTCCTTTTGGTCCAAATCTATGTGGACGACATCATATTTGGCTCAACTAAGAAATCTCTTTGCACCAAGTTCTCCACCCTCATGCAAGGAAAATTTGAGATGAGCACGATGGGGGAACTCAACTACTTCCTTGGTCTTCAAATCAAGCAGAGAAGTGAAGGAACTCTCATCAACCAAGCCAAGTACACAAGGGATCTTATCAAGAAGTTCAAAATTGATCAGAAGTCATCCGTTTCTGTCCCCATGAGTACATCCATCAAGCTTGACATGGATGTTGATCAAACTCTCTACAGAGGAATAGTTGGATCTTTACTCTACCTTACTGCAAGTCGTCCGGATATCTCATATGCAGTAGGTGTTTGTGCTAGATTCCAGTCAAAGCCAAAGGAAAGTCATTTAATTGCAGCCAAAAGGATTCTTAGATACCTCAAAGGAACTCAGAATATGGGTTTATGGTATGCTAAGAGCAGCTCATTTGAGTTAGTGGGATACTCAGATTCTGACTTTGCCGAATGCAAAGTTGACTGGAAGAGTACATCTGACACTTGTCAATTCATTGGTGGAAATCTTGTTTCTTGGTTCAGTAAGAAACAAAACTCCATCTCTACATCAACAGCAGAAGCAGAGTATATTGCTGCTGGTAGTTGTTGTACTCAAATTTTGTGGTTAAAGCAACAACTACTGGGTTATGGAGTCAAAACAAAGGAAGTGACAATATTTTGTGACAATCAAAGTGCTATAGCCATCTCACAAAATCCAGTGCATCACTCTTGCACTAAGCACATTGATGTGAAGCATCACTTCATCAGAGATCATGTGGAAAAGAAGGATATCAAAATTGGGTACATCTGAACTGAAGAAAAACTAGTGGATATCTTCACAAAACCACTAAGTGAAGCCAAGTTTTCCGATTTACTTCACAAAATTGGTCTAATTCAATTAGACTGAGTGCGGTACACGTGTCAATCCACTCACCACGTCTGATTAAGTATTGGGTAGGCACATGGCCTTGGGAACAGTTGAAAACCCAATCGCCACTAGCCGCATAAATCGCCCAAAATTAAACCCAATTGCCACTATATTCAGATCTCAACTACCCACTCAGCCCACTCAAATTTTCGTCGTCTTCCTCGCGAGAATTCTCAAGAACCCTAATTTCTTCAGATTGTTTCACCCAAAATTCAGCGAAAATGAAGATTGTTGGAGCTAATATTCATTTCCAGACATTAGAAGCCAAATGTTCTACACCGGCGTTCTATCAAACTTATTTGGAGATGATTGCTGCATAGGAACTCTCCGAATTCCTTCATCTAGAAATCAGCTTCAAGTATGAAGAAGAAGTTCTTGAATTCTACAAGAACGGGAAGATCTCAACGATTCAATCCAAGAAGAACCCACAGAGGACGATTCAAGTAATTAAGTCCACTGTTGGAGGCACCAAGGTGAAGATTTCTCAGAAGAAATTGATGAAAAAGCTCCATCTTCCCAATTCTGGAATTGAAATTGGGAGGCTCATGTCCAAGAATCTGGACTGGAAAACTATTGGGATTTCTGGACAAATCCCCTCTGGCCCAGCAAAGAAGGCCGACTTGAAGAATGACTATAAATTGGTCCTAGAGCTGGTCATTGCATGCCTAGAATGTGGCAGTGGAGGACATGCAGATGACATAACTCAAGAAAGGGCATTCATCATCAACGCTCTTATCGCCAGGACAAAGGTAAATTGGGCTAAACACTTTTTCAACTCTGTTTCAATGCACTTAGGAAAGCCCAAGCAGAAATATCTCTGTCAAGGATTGTACCATGGGTACATTTTGGAATCCTTGGGTGTTGCTTCTAAAGGCAAGAAGTATGATACCAGATATTGGCTCTACTATTTGTCTTCTAAAGGAGAAAACAGAGCTAGTTCAACTGTAGAAGATGAAGGCTCTTCAGACAATGTCCTAATTGTAAGTCTAAAGAAGTCCTCAAAGAGGAAGCAAGTGGTGTCTCCCTCCCCCAGCACTGAGGCACCACACAATCTTGCAGTGATTAATTTGGATGAAGAAGAAGAAGTTCCTGCCCAGGGAGAACTTCAAAAGAAGAAGAAAAGAAGAATCTCCTCTCCCTCTACATCTGGAAATGCAAATACGGGTGACTTGGTGGAAAAGGAACCATTTGAGGAAGCCTCTGCACACAACCAGAGTCCTCAACAACTTGATGAAGATGAAGAAATCCCTCAAGACCAGAGTTTTCCATCTCCTCAATCACAAGCTCAAACTGATGATGAAGTGAGCAAATTCATGCAGCTCTACTATGATTGGAGAGCTTGGAAAGTTAGAAACTCTACAGATCAGTTAGTTGAATGGGATCAACAACTGAAAAATGAAAGGATTATCAAGAGGTGTTTGGGACAGCCAGTCAACTATTTTTGTGAGCAAATTCTGGATGATGAATGGGTATTGCAGAAAACCTATGAGGATCTACATTTGGAATACTTGGCCACCTCTCCAACTTCAGAGTTTGAAACTGATGATGAGGACACGACAGTCTACAAACCAATCCTCTCAAAGCCAACTGAAGATCAGACTGTCCTCACCACTGAAGCACAGGCTGACATGGAAGCCACAGCAGAGGATTTCCATGTTTTTCCGGAAACCTCCCCTATTTTTGAAATTATTCTGCCTGAGGCTGTCCAAGGCACAACAAATTGATGGAAAAATCTGAAGAAAAGTATTGCTCAAATCTCAACGAGATAAGCAAATTTGTGGACAAAACTCTAGAGATCATTTCTCTATTGAGTAAGTCTGTGAGCAATACAATGATGGCTTATGCATCTCACAGCCATCTTCAATTCAAAGAAGCCACTGCAATCAAGCAGCAGATTTCCACAGTCACAGTCAACCTTCATAAGCAGATGTCTCCCCTCCAGATGGATATCAGATCAGCCCTAGCAGTGTCATCAGCAAACCAGGTGGTAACTCAAGACTACCTAAAGGTTCTTGCTGACAATCAAAAAGAAGCATTCAGGCTCTTCAGGCACTTTGGCACTTACACTGGGAAACACAAGCTGGAAGTGATTGTCCAACCTAGAAGTCCATCTCAAATTCCAAGACTTCCAATTGAAGTCAAAGAAGGAGAACTCTCATACATTCCATCACACCTGAACATGACGGAGCTGATACTTGAAACCCAGCAGAGCAATCTGGAGAACTCAATCTAGCATCTGTCAAACACTGAGTTTGATGGAACAAAAGCTGTAGGAACCATTGCCTCCCACTTCACAAATGATTCCCATAAAGAAGAGAGATATAACAATCTCAAGCGCATCCAGGAAGAGTGTGGAGTCATGCAAGGCATTGGTGAGGTTGCCGGATCATCCAAGCGCAAAAAGAAGTGAAGGCTCTTTTCATCAAAATAGGGGGGAGTATTGAAAACATTATTTTGTTTTGATGAAAACACCTTGTTTAAACATGAGTTTTTGGTTTAAACATTGCTCAATACATCTCTTAATTATGCTTGAACATAATTCTTTTAAGTATGATTTCTGAGACTTATTATTGAGCGCATACATTCAGGGGAATGTAATTCTGGCGGAACTTAACTGTTTTTGGCTAATACTTGTCTTGTGGCAATGAACTATTGATAAAATGTAACACCCCAATCCGTATAACCCGGAATTACACGAATTAAGGTGAAACGAGAGTTAAATAAAAAATTTCGCTTGACATTTGAAAATGACAATTACTTATAAATATTAAATTTACAGACTCTGGATCGCGACCCATTTAAAAATATTTTCAGAGTAATGCGGAAGTACAATAATAATCAAATCATGACACATTTAATATCTGATGACCAAACATTTGTCTGCCATCCTTGCATCTCCGCTGACTCAATGCCCTCCGGGAATGGTTCCGTCATTGTCTTCTTGTTACCTACGTGTAGTCAACGAAAAAATACAAACTACACGCTCAACGAAACCGCTGAGTGGTACCACGCTAGAATTGTAGAATAATTCACAGACATATACATATACATATATATACGTCCGCAAAGTGTATAATATGGTTCATGATATGGCACATTATGTCATATGATCAATTTGATGATTCATGATGATAAATATTTACTGATAATTACATGATGGCACATTTATTCAATTTGCTAGTTCTTGGTGATGATTACATGAAACCCATGTAATTAATATAACTATACTTGATGATGATTTCATGTTGTATGATTCTAAGTCAACAAGGAACGATCTTGCAACTATGAGATTCGCCCATTTGGTACGACGAACTCATGTCCTTCTTAGTCTCACGAGGGAGACTAGAAAAATAGGGGTGGTACTCGAAAGTCTGAATACCATGTACGTACACTAAGCCCAGTCAGGATTGTCGGACTACTAAGTCCCGCACAACCACGCTATAAGAGACGCAATTACGCATGATCTCTTACGCATGCATATGATATGATATGCTATAATATGTGTGATGATATGAGTCATATGATATGAACAATTTGTAAATAATATGAATGGATAAATATACTTTATTTTATTTGGGTGAAATCTGATAAAAATATCATTTAATTAAGCTACGGGGCTCGAAACGGTCGACCATTTGGAGCGACGGTCGACCTTGATCTTCATCAGGTCGTATTTGACGGATCACCGTGACGGTCGACCGTTGTTGACTGGCTGCGGATGGCGGACTTCGGTTGGCTGGCGGCGGTCAACTGTTCGCCGACAGCGGTTGACCGTTCTACTGGCAGTCGTGGTCTGTTTCGAAGTTTAATACGACGGTTGACCGTTTGCGTCGACCGTTTGGGTCTGTGAATCTTTCTCTTGATATTTTGAGTGTCCAAAATACTTCTTTAAGTGTTTTAAACACCTTTGATTAACAAATACATCTTGTTGGGTTGATTTCAAATGTTTATATATACTTATGTATATATATTAACTTTATGGATTTGGTGTATTTTGATCTCAACATATAGGTAACTTATATATGTATCACATATATATTTTGGAATTGTTTTAACATATGGAATAACATATATGTTCATGTATGTATGTGATGAATGATTCGACAAGTCTAACGCAAAGGTACAGACCTGGAAATCATCGGCCGAAACCTTACGGATGAGCGGGAGTGGAAACAACATCGAAATTCACCAACTTTGTCATTTCCGTCACAACTGGACAGCCTGCAGTAATTTGGGCATATCTCCATCGTTTCTTCACGGAATTGCAAACCGTTTGATTCTGTGGATTCCTAAGATGTAAGGCTACAACTTTCGTATAGAAAGTATTTCGTTTTAACATATGTAAGATAGCATAAATCGGACCTGAAGTCAAGGGATAGTTGCTGTCCAGAATTTCGGGTATGTCGATGAACATGATTCCGACGATTAACTCACTAACTTCAACGTTCCAACGCCGAACTTTCTCTGCGATACCTTCCGGATGTTCCTAATAATTGTTAAAAAGTTTATGGTAAGTATTTGGAATGAAACAACATGAATATGGTGAGGAAACATAGCCAATCCCGAGGAGCTCGCCACCACTGGCGCAGTCCCGGTTTTTTGGCCATATCTCCTTCGTTACTAAATGAAATCGCGAGCCGTTTGTTGGGTTGGATTCGTATCGTCCGGGGATTCAACTTTGGTTTAGTTTTTACCTTGAAGTTGCTGCTGTGTTTTTGGACTAAAAATTTGGAAGCTTTGGATGGTTTTCTTTCTTCTTCTTCTCCTTCCCTAACACACAATCATGGATATGAAACTTTCTTTCCCCTTTCTTGATGTTTGGCCGACAGAGAGAGAATGGAGAGGGGAGAGATGAGATGATGGTGGAAGATGATGATGTATAATGATATTATGAGAATTTGGAGTGTAATTATTGTAGTCATGTTGGGTTATAGGTTAGGATTTAGATTTTAGTGATAGTAGGAATCTCTTTGTGGACTAATAGAGATTTTAAGAGATATCACAAGGCTCCATACGTGATTGAGTATAATTTGTAGAGTAAGGGTTTGGCTTATAGTCTAAACTGACTAGTTTATCCCAAACGGTACGCGCTTTTTCACCCAAACTGCTCCAAATTGAAAACGGATTGCGTTTTTGGAATGAGACTGTCAAAACTAGAATTTTGATGTAAACGAAATATTTTTCTGAGAACTTCTTTTTTCTCAGTGTTCAGGTCTGTCTTAGTCATAAATTAATTTAATAATATGAATGAGATAAAAATATATGAATTAAATCCCAATGATAAATATGATGTTGTCAAGTGTCAAAATTATGATTTCTAATCTGATGAAATCACTTCTGAATTGAGTTTATTTTATGGGTCAAAGTTACAAATTTTAATATTTAAAATTGACATAACTTGAAATCTATAAATCGGATTGGTTCATAAAATGTACCGTTGGATTCGTCTCTTCGAGACATATCCATAAAAATAACTTTTTAACAAAAAGTCATTATTTTGAAAATCCATTTATTTTTGGTCAAACGTATAAATATTTCTTATTGTACAAAAATTACTTTTGTTTTATAATAAATTTTAGGTCATATTTTGTGGCGTTACATAAACTCTAAGCAATGGAAGACGGATACTTCAATTTTTGTACCAGAGTTGGAGATCTCCGATTCAGGTATTCTACGATATCTGCCCTCCTAAACTTAATTTCAATCCTTAGTTCATTTCCAACTTTGCTCTAAAGTACTGGTCCTTAGGATTTTTATAATGTACAGGACTTTCGAAAATTAGTACCACTTTTATTTTTAAAAAATGAAATTTATATCTTTTTCTGGTACTACCTCCTCCTAATCAGAAATTAGAACTATAGGGAATGAAAAATGATAGATTTTATTTTGGGCCTTGAGAACCCAATAGGAATAATTTTCCTTTAGTACATAGATTTTTTGGGCCACTCTTTTGGGCTTAGCCAAACCAAAGCAGTTACGTTTTTCAAACAAAATGAAACTGATCTCATTTGAAACAGTTTCAACACATTGGTAACCGGTAAAAGATTCCTTCAACTTTTCAAAATTCAACTTCTTGGGAGTTGAAACTCTTTTACTCTCACCGTTCCAACTACCCACTAAATGGAACCCGTGAACCTCCCCTTCTCAACTTCTCCTCCTATTTAAGCCAAGCCATTCCAATCCATTCCTATCACTAACAACTCTTTCAACATGAAAAGTCTTCAAATTCATTGTCTGAGAAAAACACTAAGTAAAATATTCTCAATGGAGAAATTTTTCTTTCTCACCCTCATAGACGGCAATGGAGAAAGCCTGGTGAGAAGAAAAGATATTCAAGATATTTGGTGGGAATCTTGGCAGTAGAGAAGATATTTGGTGGGAATCTCGCATATTTTTACATCTCGCTACATATCTTCTCCGGAACAACACTCTCTCCATTTTCGTTTCTTCTAATTTTCTTTTAAAAAATTTCTTTTTCCTTTTCTATTTTTTGCTCTTCAAAATTTTATTTTTAATATTTTTTCTTTCTTTTCTTTTATTTATTTCAAATTGATTTCAAGTCTCCACTTCTCCTCCCTTTTTCCTTTCTTCTACTATTTTTCAAAACTTTTCCTTCCCTAGTCACCATCTTTTTCTTTCTTTAAACTCTTTCTCAAAACCCTTCTTTTATCTTCCTTTTTTACAATCTTTTCTCTTTTCCCAAACCTCCTCTTGTCCTTCTGTCTTTTTCTTGCCTTTCACTAGCTCCTCCTTTCCTCCCAATTTTTTTGTTTTTGTTTTTGCTTTTTTGGAGAGTAGTTGTTGCTTCCAAGATCTCAGCGTCCATTTTGGATGTTGAGATCCATCAAACACAATGCCATCTGAACTTTCAAGCAACACCCGCTAGAAATGAAAGCAGCAAATGGCAAAAATATCACAGATCTCAAGACAAGACTTGGTTTAGGAACTGTTGTAATTTGAATTGTATTTGTTTAAGAGTTTTTGTTAATAAGCTGTATGTTATGAGAAACTAAAAGAAAGTTATAAAATTAGTTCTCAGTACAGCGACCGGAACTCTTAAACACTTGTTTGTCATCATCAAAAAGGGAGAAATTGTTGGGAAAAATATTATAGATTTTGATGATGATGTATTTAGACTGTAATAGGGACTTTAGGTCTTCCCCAATATTCAATGTAATTTTTCTTTTTAGAAATATTGTTAAACCGAGTTCTTGAGATTTCCAATAAAGTTGTGATATTTCACTATGTGGTTTGATGTCAATCTTTGAATACTTAATCAAATTCAGTGATGTGGAAATTGGAATTCTTGATCGGATATGCCAGAGACAATTAAGGAATTCTCAAAGCAGTTGATTACTTTGAAGATTCTCAAATACGGAACACTTCACAGTAACCGGATGTCTCGCAACAACCCGCTGAAAGCAAAGTCATACGGATCGGAAGACTAGCAGGGATTTCTTTCTCACCCGGAAGTCTATGAATGACTTTTCCGGAATTGTCAGCGAATAACCGGATGCCTAATAACGGGTTTTGTTGGAAAAATATTATAGATTTTGATGATGATGTATTTAGACTGTAATAGCGACTTTAGGTCTTCCCCTATATTCAATATAATTTTTCTTTTTAGAAATATTGTTAAAACCGAGTTCTTGAGATTTCCAATAAAGTTGTGATATTTCTTTAAGCGGTTTGATGCCTGAAGACTTAATCAAATTCAGAAATTTGGAAATTGGATATCTTGATCGGAAAAGTTAGAGACAAGTAAGGATATCTCAAAGCAGACGAAAATCCTCCTATCCGGAAGACTACATGAGAACCGGATGTCTCGTTACAACCCGGTGAAGGCTAAGTCGGAAGACTAGCACGAATTTCTTTCTCACCTGTAGGACTGAGTATGACTCTTCCGTATTTGTCAGCTAAGAACCGGATGCCTCAAGGAAGACCGGAATTCTCAAAAAGCGGACAAGTGAAAAAAGACTTAGAAAATTATCTAAGTCTTGAATGAAGAAATTCTACCCATTGGTAAGGAAAAATCAATCTCTTGATTTTCAACGGATAGATTGAGGAAAATTAAGCTGATTCAAGAACAGATAACTTGAAGACAAAGTCTAGACTTCTCAAATTAAAGAGCTTGCCCAGAATTCCTAAACAAGCACTAGAAGACAAACTGAGTACTCCACTCAATAAAGAGCTACAGTTCAGAATTCTTGAACAACAGCTAAAGGACGGATTCTGTGAAAAAGGAATCCTTCATCAAACAATTGGGTATGTCCAAACACCCATTCCAATGAAGACTCCTCAATCACAATCTTCATTCAAATTGAAGCCAGCAAATGCAACAGATAGTCTATTTTGATTCAACGGATAGATTACCCAATCCAGCTATATATAGCCTCCTTGGAAGACTGGAAGAAGTACACAACTTATCAATCATCAACCTAACATCAACGAGAACAAAAGCGATCTTATTCACAGTTAGCCAAAAAGCTTGATAAAGAGAGATCTCTAAACTCCTTATCCAGAAGCAAACTTCTCCTCCTTCCAAAGAGCTATAGTGTAAACACTTGAAGGTTTCCTTGCCTCAAGTACCACACCACGTTGAAGGATACATCTTTTAATCAAACTTCTTGATTAAAAAGGGGGTACATCAACTTTCCCACAAGTTGATCTTGCAAGTCCTATTGTTCGGATCTTGCAGTTGTTGAAGAAGCTTGACCTTCGAAGGAACAACAAAGCCAGCACGTGTGCAGTAGCAACATTGGCCTTGCGAAGATATACCCTACTAAAATTCACACAAGTGTAATTGTTGGTTCATTATTCAATAACCAACTACATAGTGGATTTTGAGGACGTAGAAGGATTACCCCACCTTCGAACCTCGTTAAAGTTTGCGTGTCTCTATCTCTTTTATCTTTACTCATACTTGCAATTATACTAACTGTGAAACTAACTCATCCATATTGATTACTGCTCTATTAACCCACCAACTTCCGCACACAATCTAAGGTTCACAAGAACTCTAGATTAACACTCATTTTCACGTTTTCAAAAGAAACAAAAAAGTTTTTAAATCGTAACAAAGTCTAATCACCCCCCCCATCTAGACTTTGTGTCTCACCACTTTGGGACCACCAGGTTTGAATATAACACTAGACAGTGAACGTTCAAACAAAACACAAAAAATCTGAATTAGGGCGAATTCATACGAAAATTAACTAAAAAATAATAGATGGAATAAAATGAGGCAAGGGTCTGATGATGTGCGATGGACATTAGCCAATACAGAATTAACCTGAATGTCCCGGGTGGGCCAGTGGGCGATGTGAGCTTCCGGCGAATTTCTGCGGAAATAAATTTGATTGCTGCGAAATTCTTTGGAATTGGGTTGGAGAATCCGAACCGTAGAGTGTTTCCGATTATGCAGCCGGCGAGGATGCTGCCTGCGATTGTCTGGTTTTGGAGGTAGGATAATCATCGTTGTTCAGCGTCGTATTAGGCGATGAGGTTGTAACGGCTGATGAATAACTCCCTCCTCAATTAACGCAGGTGAAGGAGAAAGTGCGCGAAAGTGGCGCATATCACTCTCCCCCCGATTTGTGCAGGTTACGGATAAAATGGTGTGAAAGGGTTGATTTTGGAATACTTAAAAAGGGTATGGAGTTGGAGGTGCTACAAAAGTAGGGAATGGGATGGGAGTGCTATATAAGCATTTTATAATAGTTAATGGTGCTATATTGGATGATTTCATAAATAAATTTAAAGTGATGTGTGTTTGAAAAAGATAAGAACCAACCTTTTTTGTCCATGAATTTTTTTCTACCTTCAACTTCCATGCTTTCAGAAGCTATTAAATTACCTAGAAAAAAAGGGAAAAGTCCAGAATACAAAATCGCTCATATTTTCTCTAAGGCTAACAACACAAAAGCATAATATTAAAGTACTTGAGCAGTGAACATCCTAACGTATATTAAAATTCAAACAAACCAGGGCTCAAATGAACAAAACACATTTTGCTCAAATTGAAAACTTGTAAGAAGAGAAATGTATTAGAAACAAAAATAAACAAAACCAGCTACCCATCTCAACAATGGTTTTTTGGTGAGAAAAGGGGGGGAATAGAACAGAGCTTTGGTGATACAATGCCCATCTCAACAATGGTTTTTTGGATCCAACCGTGGAACTATACAGATAATGTTCAAAGATGATACAGAAGTAGCTTCAGGAGGGGGGAGAAAAAAAATATACCTTTCTTAGTGGCGCCACAAAACCTGGAGAGAAAAGGGGAAATGAAGACAATATGCTACGGAGCTATTTACGGTTTAATCCGTTCTTGCTTAGCGGGAAGAGAGATGTTGGTGAGATCCATGAATATGAAGGAATAGCACGAAGAATTAAGTGGTTCTATTCGCGCTAAGCAAGAAATGACGATGTCGATTGTGAGCGATTAGGGTTTAATTAGGATCGAAGGAAGAAAGATGAAGGCGATTGAGAGCAAAGGAAGAGAGATGGTGGCAATTGGGAGCGAAGAAAAGTGATGAAGAAGAAGAAATGAATGGTGTGAAATTTTGAAAAGAATACAGAGTTGGGCGAAGGAACAAAGACATGTGAAAAACGCGTGTCATCAGATGGAAACCATCATCCTATCTATATATACATACATACATACATACATACATACATACATACATACATATATATATATATGTATGTATGTATGTATGTATGTATGTATGTATGTATGTATGTATGTATGTATGTATGTATGTATGTATGTATGTATGTATGTATGTATGTATGTATGTATGTATATGTGTGTGTATATGTGTGTGTGTGTGTGTGTGTGTGTGTGTGTATGATCGATTCCGGTCAAATGACACTTTATGGTAAGATGACATGGTTCAGTGAGATGATGCCAAACTCACTACATTACACTACAAAGCTGTTGTATTTAGGTGCCCTAGCGGCAATCAAATACCTATGTAACTGTATACTTTATCATGAATGAAAGGCCTTGAAGTATGTTTTATATCTCGTGTAACATAACATAGCTTCAGTCCATAGACGATAGCGCTTCAGTAACATAGATGAGGACTACAATGTTCTGATTATGAGACTGTTACTTCTTGACGAAGGCTATGTCTAGAATATCCCTAGTCAAACTTTATGATAATACGGACGTCATAACGTATCAAGACTAGTACGTACAAGATGAGATAGTTGCGTCTCAAAGACTATAGGTATTGTGATATCTTAATCTATACGTAGGTGCATATTATATCGATAATATGTGACTAGATTGACCCATCTTGAGAATACTGCATGGATCTACAGTAATGTGTTTATCAGTATTCTCAAATCGACCTTGCTATAACTATCCTCAGACTTGAAGTTATTACATTCTCTGATATGTGGGGCCATATGCTTTGATTCATAACTAATGCTATCTGAAATACAGTTATGCGTTGGGTATGCCGCTAAGCATATTTAGAGATGTGAATAACAGATACAGGATCTGTCCCTTCTACTGTATAGAAGTATAATGTCAATGGGCCCACTGAATAGTAGGACTTGGGAAAGTGCATGGCCATGCCTAGATATGTCGCTATCTAGAGAATATCTGATCCATGCCAGTCTACTTGAGATTTAGTAACAGCTGATTTAACTATACAAGGATACACATCCCATGCCTTGTGTTAAATCATGACATTTAGGACAAAAGGATAATAGTTATAGAATGTCTTGTGTCGTAGAAGGTATTGATGAGATGAACGTCTTTTTCATAATCTGGGGATAATAATGTGTTGCTAGATACCGCTTATTATCTATGGTATTAATTTTATTAATATCATTGCCAGTGTTATGGATACCTAAAGGGTCACACACTTAAGACTTGTAAGGGAGTAGTATACTACACTAGTGGGAGTAATATTAAATATATAGTTGTGATAATTTTATACATATACATGTATTTCGAAAATACATATGTATTTTAAAATTATATTTTGTTTGTGTCATTTTAATTATATGATAATTATATTTTGACAACACAAATTTTATTATAGCGCCGAATGTGTGTATATATATATATATTATTTTATTTTTCATCATTTTAATTATATGATAATTATTGATGTCAAAANTATTTTGTGTTCAAAGTTATTTTTCTAAAGTGTTAGAAATATACACAAAATATTATAAAGAAATATTTATAAGATAAATATTTTACTATATATTTATTACTCCCAAAGTAGTATTATTATAGTTTTTACTATCCTATATTAAACTTGCTAGCACAAGTTTAATCTTGGACTCCGGAGCAAGTTCGTGTGGATACGTTGGAGGCTTCATACGTTTGGCGCTACGTTCATCTCCTCAAAACCATCCCCGACCGTTCCTTCGTTCTCCGTTTTCACCGTTAAGGTAAATTTCTTACTATAGCTAGTAATTTACGTAAGTTGTTCTTGGGTGAAATCGAGTTTTGGACTATAAATTTTTGTTTTCCGCTGCGTTATCCAAGCCTCGTTTCCCAACAAAAGCTCACCAATTGCCAATGAAAAGCTCACCTAGAAATAAAGCAAAGCTCACCTCGAAATAAAACAAAGCTCACCACTTTGAACACAAAAACTCACCATATTTTTAAATTTTAAAAATAACAAAATTAATTAAAAAAATTGCAACACCAGTCAACCACCGGTTAGCAGCTGCAACTGGCAATCGGCAGCAGCGACCGGTGACATGTGGCGGCAGCAGGGGCGGTTAACGGTCAAATTCTAGTCAGCACCTCATCCTTTAATTTTAATTTTTTAAAATTAAAGTGTGAAAAAATAATGGTGTGCTTTGTAGTTGGTGTGGGTGAGCTTTGCAGTTGGTGTGAGTGAGATTTACAGTTAGCAGTGGTGAGCTTTACACTGGTGAGCTTTGCAGTGGTAAGCTTTACAGTTCCAGTTCTTTCCAGTTTCTTCCAATTTCTTCGAGTTTCTTCTAGTTTTTTCCAGTTCCTTCCAGTCTCTTCCAGTTTTTTCCAGTTTCTTCTAATTTCTTCCAACTATATTTATTTTCTTCAAATTCTTTCTACTTTTTGACAAATCACTCTAAAAAAATATATTATTATTATTATTATTATTTCAACTTTTTTTATTTACAACTTTTATGTTCATAAATATAGTTTATAAATTATTTCATTTTTTCATCTCACTATGTTTATGATTCACATTCATTATTATTTTTCATCAACTTTTTAATATGAATAATACCGTTTTTTAATATTAACCTACATGAAAAATTATGGATAAATAGTTATATAGAATATTTTTTAATCTAAATTTATATAAGGTAAACATCAATATTTTAATCTAAAATATAAAGTATGGAATGTGGTGGGGAGTACTACATTATGAAAACCAAGAGAAAACTACATTTTGAAAAAGAAAAAATGACCCAAGAAGTGTAATATTTATGCTAATTTTATATTCTAATTATTTTTTAAACTAGCTTTTTATATATGAAAAATAATACTCGTAATATTTTTTTATCTTAAAGACAATCATTAAGATAACGTGATAACACCAGCACTACCACCACCACCACCAACAACAACAATAATAAATTATAACAACAAGAATCAGAATGAAAATAATATAAAACCACACATAAAATTTTTTTTAAAACTTTTTTTAGATTTTTCAATTTTTTCTAGTTTTTTCAGTTCCTTTTAATTTTTTTCAGTTTTTCCAATTTCTTCTAGTTCCTTCCAGTTTCTTCCAATTTCTTCCAGTTCTTCAAGTTCCTTCCAGTTCTTCCCGTTTCTTCGAGTTTTTTCACATACAATTCTTTTTTTTCCGTTCTAAATAAGAGGCCATAAATAGTATTTGAATAATTGGAACAATGTAGGTTCACAAGAATAAGCTCACAATGACCATTGGGAAATAAAAACTGGGATACGGGGTCCTGACAGAGGCTGCGACGCCGATGGGGAATTGCTGCTCCGACGGGTCCGACAGTCAGGCGGCCGTGGGCGGCATCAGGAGTTCCGCAAACAATCTGGCTGATGATGCCAATAACTCCGTGGATGCCTTTCTCAAGTCTCGACGCTATTACTGGCTCCACTCTCAGATCGAGGTTCCAATTAAACTGTATGCTTTTTTTCGTACGGAAATCTCCTTGTATTGTTTTCAAACGTTGAGTCTTCCGGTTGAGGTGTGATCTCACTTGTCATTATATGGAGGTTTATGTGATTTTTTTGTTCCTAGCTATTCTGCATATCCGTGGCCCATTTTCCCTATATCGCATTAAATGTTAATGCCTGCCCGAGCTCATGTTGGATAGTTGACCTCTTCATTTGTGTCATAGAGTACTTTATAATGCCTCAATTCCAGATAGAATTTTGATAGGAGATGTACAACCTTTTTGTTCCGGTAAGACACAACTGGTATAAATCATTAATCCTATGGATTTTTTTTATTTTTTGGCAAAAAAATAGTGTTTGAAACATAGACTCTGTTTTTGAGAGCTGCAGGATTACTGTGTAAAGTTGTACCAATTCTATGTTAGTATTTCTCAATTGTTTTTATTGACAAGACTCACTAGAGAAGGCTACAGTCCATAATGTATGGCCCCATGAAAGAAGAAGTCACATTGCTGAAGAGGTGACGACATCTAGGACTGCATAAGTTATTCAGACGTGACCATGGAATATAGAAAGGCTTCCTTTTTTGTTTACGTGGGTATATTGGGGGCATTCAACATCCATATGGCACTTGTTTGAATAACACACCGAAAACACTAAAACCCAAATGTTTGGATCATCACGAAGAAAACAGGAAAAACATAAATTGAAACCTGTTCTAAAGTTGACTAGATCTTTTTTATGATAATGATGCTATCAGTTACGGTGTCATGTACTTGCCTAGTGCATTTAAGCATGCTATTACATGGAAGAGATAATAACTGAAGTGCTGACTTCCATGTTAGAGTACTTACGTTGCATTTGTAAACTATAGTGTACTCATGGCCACCTGAAGATCATCTAGGTGGAGAGAAATTCATGCATTTGTTTGAGAAAAATATGACGGAAGTACCATTATGTAGTCATGCGATACAAGTTTACAACATGGTATGGTTGAAATATGACTGGAAATACTAAATGAATGAATAGTTACAAAATATAGATTTGGTGGTTGCTTTTACATGTTACATTGAGCTTTTCAATTTTGAAAGATGTTAGACATGCTGTTGACAAACATCCCTTTGTCATAATAACCTTAGTAAATTGAAGTTGGATACATTCTAATATACATTTTTGCAGTTATCTCTATCTGCCTCAAACTTACATGATCGTGATGCGCTTTCTAAGGTTTGTTTTAATTTTTTTTAACTAGAACTATGAAGTATGATGTGATTTAGCAAGGTTGAATTACAAATATTCATGTAATATTATTGAAGTCATTACATAGGTGCCAAATATAGAAATGTGAGGAAACCTAGTCGTCAATTCTAGCCTAAATGTATGAGTGTTTGCATAAAAATTCAAGTTCATATATATCATGATTCCTAAGATCTTTTACACTAGGTCCTTGAATATGAATCCAAGGAATATTTTCATTGAATTGTGGAAGACTATATGACATGTTCCATAATCAATTGTAAATGTTGTTTTGTTTACAGCGTGATCCTATGGCAGTTTTGTATTCCAAAGGAAAGGATGGCTCACTCCAAGAGCTAGGTCGAACAGAAGTGGTTCTAAATTCAGTTAACCCTCGATGGATTGCTAAATTTAAAATAACCTATCAATTTGAGATGGTGCAGAATTTGATGTGCGTTCTCACTTTAAGTATATGTTTTGGGTGAAAAAAATATAAACCCTCCATACCAAAATAAACATCTCACTTTTCTTTTTTGGTTTGTCCCAAAATAAACTTCTCATTCTTTTTAAGGAAAACATTGAATCATTCATATGAAGGAGTATCTTTTATTAGTCTCATTTTCCTTTATACACAGGTTTCATGTTTATGATGTTGACACACATTTGCATACTCAAGATACGAAGGTATAAGTTTTCTACTTTTATCCTAACATTGTTTAATCATTTTTCTACCAAAACAACTGCCCGGTATTTGTTGTGCCTCATTAATTTTCTTGAAAAGTTGAGTGAACATCTCTGCCTAGTTGATACCTATGATTTTTTGGCGCTCTTTGTTTAGGGATGTCGTTGGTCCTTCACTTCAACCCAATCCATTCAAAATGCAGTTTTTAAGTGTTTTAATGCTAAAATGAAAATGTTAGTCTTCATATAACATTTACCTCATGCAGATGTTGAGATTGGACGAGCACGATTTTCTTGGTGAGGCTAACTGCACATTGTCCGAGGTTAGTATTATGAATTCATATTCATACTTTATAGATCTGATGTGCCACTCTTGTGGCCAAGCAGTAATAATGTAATATTGGACACCTCAAATCTGGTAGGGGGTTGGGCTTCTCTTATTTGAAATGGATTTGCTGTAGAATGTGGGCAGCATGGTTTATGCTCATTAAACTTTTTTTAAAAAAATATACTCCCTCCGTCCCACACCATATTTTTTCATATTTGTGTAGTTCACAATCATTCATACTTTTTGTCACTTTTTAACATTAATATCAACCACCCATTTGTAATTTTTCTTATTTCTCGTGCCACTCCCCCATGTCACAATTTTTTTCTTACACACACATTTCACATGTCTTACAACGCTCATCAGCATGTCACGCAAGTGTCCACAATGGCTTGCACTCTTCACACAAACTTGTTCGTAGCTCTTCTCCTACGACGATGAGCTGCATCCCCCCTTGACTCTGGGGCATTACCCCCTCAGTTATCTTCAATTCATCCTTTAGTTTCGTGGTCACTCTGTGTTCTATTTAGTCTTAATTTAGATCCTGAATTAATTCTAGTAGGTTTCTATCACACACACACACATTTATCTATGTAAGGTTGTGTGGATGCTGTCTCTTATATTGCTTTAAATTTTTGTAACTTTCTCTCTTCATTCTATCACCCATATTTTAAGTGTACTCAACTTTTCAAATATTCCCCTATTGATATGACATTAAAATTAAAAGTAATTTATCAGTTCATTAGCTTTTTGTTTGAACTTATTATTATTATTATTATTATTATTTATCCATTATATGTACCAATATTTCTTTAGTTAATTGATTAATTAATTAATTGATATATATTCATCTGCTGTCTGCAGATTGTAACAAAGCCAAACAGGTGCATGACTTTAGATCTTTCACATGAAGATCAATCTTCTGTTTCAGTACATAGCAAAGAGCTTGGCAAGATGACTGTGTGTGCAGAAGAAAGTTTCATCTCAAAGACTACAATAGAGTCTATATTTCGCTGTACAGATTTGCAATCTAAGGAATCATTCTCAAAAATTGTAAGCACTTAATGAGGGCTGTTTTTGCATCAGACTAAATACTGATACATCACGTTATTTACTGTCTCCCAGGACCCCTTTTTGCTGATCTCCAGAATTGTTGAAAGTGGAAATGTTATTCCCATTTTCAAAACAGATGTGTTGAAAAATGACCATAATCCAATTTGGAAGCCTGTTTACTTGAGTATGCAACAAGTTGGAAGTAAGGTATAACTAATAACTATTCAAGGACAAAGTATCGTAGAGGTCCCTGTCTAAAAATGTTCAAATTAGTCCTTGTACTCAACATCGAAGCAATTTAGTCCCTATACTATTCTTTTTTGTTCAATCAAGTCCTCTTCACTTTTTTCTTATTTATTGCCCTAAATTCTTAAAGATAACGTCTAGTTTTACTATAGATGATGACATGAAACTGTTGTATGGACATGTTAATTCATACTTATTTTTTTTTAAAAAACTTTTTTTTACTAAGAACAATATACATTTATTTATTTATTTATTTTCTTTTAAGAAAAAAATTTAGGGTTAAAATTTTTGGTTATATAATGACCAAGTATGAATTATTATGTTAAACAGTATTTCAATGTCATCTGTAGTAAAATTTTGCGTTATCATTAAAAAATTAGGGCAATATATAAGAGACAAGTGAAGAGAGAAGGACCTGATTGAACGAAAACAAATAGTACAGGGACCAAATTGCTTCGGTTTTTACTAGAGGGATTAATTTGAACATTTTTTAGATAGTAAAACTGTACAGGAACCTATACTATACTTTGTCCAACTATTTAAGATCTATCTATCACATCCATAGTTGCCTTCTGAACATCAAGTTTTCGGGTAAAATCCGTAAAATGCAAATTATAGCATTAGTAACCCAAAATTATAAGTACAAAGTACCGGGGCATACACCTACAAATCAACAAAGTCAAGGGCGAACATATGGCCCAACAACAAGTTCAAACCCCAAAAAGGGTAAAGAAGAAAGGGATCAAAGCAATCAGAATCAACGTCATCATGGGGTTTGTATCTTGACCACTGCCTTGAAGCCATTCAGGACAGCACAAACCCCTAAGTTAGCGGAGACGAGTATAAAACTTTGTACACCCAAAATCTTCAACAGAGATTTGCTCAATCTCAAAGATGTCAGGCACAACAACTTCCTTGGCCGGAGGTGGTGCTAAAGAAGGGAGAGTGACCTGCTTATCCAAAGTGTTCCCAGGAGTGGCATATTGAAAAGCGGCAGACTCTGGCTCAATCTCCAAACTAGCTTGATCTTTGCAATCAGATTCCAAGTATGCAAGTTGGGCAACACAAGTGGTTGGTTGCCTAAAGCAGCCTGTGGCCCAAGGCACAATAGCTTGCCCGTGACTATATCTTGTTGGGTATTGGGTTCCAATACCACATAAACGTCTCTCGGTTGCTTCCTTCATTTGGAATGTTTGGATGGCTTATCACTGGTCCAATCAGTAAAGGTGGGTACTACCTTCTCGGTTTCATGCACCTCTGTTGCCTTGCGTTGCTTGCCCTTAGAGCTCTGCCCATTCTGATCAAGTCATCCACAGCTAGGAGATTTCGTATGAGGGCATAAAGGATGTGACACTCAGAAGGATTGTGTTCAAACTTCTTGCAGTGAAAACGAAAATTTGGAAGATTTTCATACACAACCCGTTGAATGTAGCTCGCGTCCCCAAAGTGGACTTTGAAGGATGTAAGTAGTTCTTTCGACGTGTCGATGTTAATTAACATACAACATAACCCAATCCTATCTCTGCCCTTCATAACAAGGTCCCTACACAAAGGAGTCTCCAATTTCGATCCCAAGTGTTCCAGAGCCAATATAATCCAGAATTCCAAAGGCACATCAAGGAATTTAACCCAAACCGTAGTCATCATAAAAGCATCAAAGTCAAAACAAAAACCTTTGGGAATAATACACTCAATACAAAGTAAAAGGTCTTACCAGAGAGCGTGTAAGGCCCATTGGCAAGCACACGCCTCTGATTATCGTCACTCACAAACTGGAAAATCAACCAGCCTTTATGGTGAGAAAGGATCTTGTCCTTGAGTCCTTGACTTGCCATGAGGACATAAGTCCTTCAATGGCCTTGATGGGTTGGGAACCGATGGGTGAAACAATCAACAAGATAGAAGCCCCATTTTAATTCTAAGGAAAGAACGGCATCAGCTGGAACTTTAATCAACGAAATTCTTTTGGACACATCCCTGTTTTTCCTGAAAAGATCTGCAAAGGTTGCCTTAGACTGAGCTCTGTCCTCCGGTTTAGACTTTTCATCAAGCACGTTGGGGTAAATTTCACGTATGGTACACCAACTTTGAAGTTTATTTCACTTCGGTACACCAACTTTATTTTCTTTCAGAAAAGTACTCCAACTTAATACTTTCTTTCACCCATGGTATTTTAGCCGGTTTCTAGGTTAATAGCGGGTTACCTATCCTACGTGTATGCCTACTTGGTGCACCCATTTAAATCACTCCCTTCTTCTCTCTCCTCTCTCCTCTGACGCAGCATCATCCCTGTTGAAATGTTCGAGCAGACCACCGCATAATGGGATTTCTACTCCCTTTCTTGTTATAGCTATAAATCCTGAGATTCCCGTCGTCGTCGAGCTTCACGAATCTCAGAATATCGCCCTCGTCGGAGTAATCACTACTGTAAACCAGTTTCAAAGGGTTGGGAAGGGAAGGGTCGAAGAGGGAGAGAATACCCACAGGATTCATACTCAAACTGGGAGAGTTTAATTCAAAATCGGCAGAAGAATTAAACCCAGAATTATAATAAGTGATTGAATTCTTCCACAGAAGCGTCAAATTCCCGTTCTGTCGGAGCTTGAACGAGAATTTCCCAGATTTCAAAGTATTGTTCAGGTTGAAATTCTGGGAGGGGACTGTGGTGTCGGTGGGGTTATCGAAAGTTGACCAGATGTTGGGGACGGTGGTGTTCTGGAGAGCGAGGTTACCTGAGTCGTCAAGGTGCGCGGAGGAGACACCGCGGCCGGTGGTGTTCGAGCTCCAGACGACGACGGTGGGGGAGCTTCCGACGCCGGACGTGAGCTGGAGGTCGCCGTTGGAGAGGAATCAGAGAGATGCAGAGGAGGGGAGGGCGCCGGAGTCACCGCCGGCCTTCCAGATGGGTATCCTGGCGTCCTAGCGGATTCTGGAAGGAGAGAGTGAATGTGTTATTGGGAGACAGCCAGGATGAATTCGGGTCGGATGCAAAGAGGGTTGACCCGGGAAGATTATCCGCCGCGGCGGCGGCGGCAGCTGCTCCGAAGAGGAGAATAAATCGTATGGGTGCAAGTGAGTTTTCCATTTATAATCTCTCCCACGCTACACATTCAGAGCTCCCACGCTACACATAACAGAGATGATGCTGCGTCAGAGGAGAGAGGAGAGAGAAGGGAGTGATTTAAATGGGTGTGCCAAGTAGGCATACACGTAGGATAGGTAACCGGCTATTAACCTAGAAACCGGCTAAAATACCATGGGTGAAAGAAAGTGTTAAGTTGGAATACTTTCTGAAAGAAAATAAAGTTGGTGTACCGAAGTGAAATAAACTTCAAAGTTGGTGTACCATTCGTGAAATTTACCTAGCACGTTGTGGGTGCTCCGTGAATCCTTCAGATTGTATGGAGAAGAAGCAGAATCGCCATCAGACTGGGTAGAAACAACTTTGGTTTTTCCAGATTTGGGTTTGTGCTTGTTGTTGGTTGATCTGCAGACTTGGGTTGACGGTTCTCCAACTGCATTGTTAGTGGAGTTTTAAATAACAAACTTTGTGATGTTTGTTTTGTTGTCCATCTTCTGGCCATTAGTCTTCTTCTTACCCATGGTGCTGCAAATCTGACGTAACCCAGTATGGTCAGCTAGACAAACCCAGTATGCTTTACCCAGTCGCTGGTTGGCAGCAATGGACACCACCCCAGCTGCAACTGAATCCAAAAACGAATCTGACACAGGTTACAACACAAGCAAAACAGAAGAAGACCCTTCACAGAGAGTCCGGAACACAGAATCGGGAATGGAAGCTGAAGATAAACATTGCTCCAAAATCAAAATCGTGTCCAAAGCTCAGAGATTCATCAGGAAAGGGCCAAGTATGTCATGGACGGCAACCCCAACCCCAAACAAACCAGAAAAAGCTAAGTGTTGGAGCCCAGTCTTGCCATAGCAGTTGAATTGCTGCAAATCTGGAGTTGCTCATTAACTGTTAATGAATCTCCAAAAAAACGCAATTTGCTCAAGAAATACACAGTTAAATTAAAATCTAACAGTGCATAGTGGAAAGTAAGGTCCAATCGTTCCCGAAAAAAATATTCAACAAAAAGAAACTAAAATCCAAGAGAACCAAAGATTCAAAAACATGGAAATCGGCTATTAACACTGCCACGACACGACTACCTGAGATAGAATCTCATCCATCTAGTTGTAGAACTTTGCCTATGGTTTTTTGAACATTGAGTTTGAATCCGTTGATGGAGCGTTACATTTGACACATCATATAAGAATCAGCTTTGATATGATTTTATTAGAAACAAATATTATGCTGGTATTTTGGGCAATAACAACATGCAATCTTGTGCATTGTCCTTAATTTCTTTTAAAATTTTGATTTTTTTTCCAACTTTATCCGTATTTGTATATGGAAACAAAAAAAATGAAACCATGTGCATTTCTAAATCATACATTGTTTCAGATTTTTAAGTTATTTCAAATTTTGTCCTTTTTCTTTTTGCTCTTTGTTTTACTTAACGTATTCGCTACTTAAGTGTGTACTCACACATGCTTGTTCACACTTGTTCAGTTCTCGAAATAGATTTACTTTTCTTCATGATTTGACATTTATACAATGGTGCATTGCCTGCATAATGAATTAATGACTAGTTTGGCTTCAAGTTTTGGGATCCTCCAAACATGGTGCAGTTTCATAGCTATGTTGTAAAGTTTTATCTTGCTATCAACTACAATTTTGCAATGACAGTGTAGCCATTAAATTCATCATTGTGCAATACTGCCTAAATGCTTTGAAGTAAGCAGTCATGTTTAATAGGCTTCAGTGTGTGCCTTACTGCCTAAATGCAATAATTCTTTCTTCTTATAATCTCCTATGAAATTTTGAAAAGAAAAAGTTAATACATTCACCACACTTAGAAGTTACTTCACAAAAGTGGAGGTCGCAGATTTCGGAA